CTGGTCCCATTTCCAGTCCGACTACCTATGGATGGACTCAACTACCTGGACACATTAGGAGGAAACTCCTTTACGTTTTATAACGTATAAAATCTTAATAATAATATTCAGAGGCAAGATTCACAACCCCTAAGAGTTACCTCACAATTTTCAACAAAAGATTGAGATCTTCAGAGTTTTGATTTTTCTTAAATCTAAGTTTATGTGAAAATAATTTAAGAAAATGGCATATCTCGAAAACTAAAAGAATTTGAGCAGTCATATTTGGAGTCCGAATTCGCAACTCCTGGTAGTACCCTGACAGAGCCTCATTACAGAGATGAGAATTTCAAATTTTGTAAAACTTTTTATACCTAAGTTTTCTGTAAAATACTAAAAAAACGTCATATCTCAAAAACTGCAAGGATTTGACCGGCCATATTCAGAGGCAAGATTGACAACCGCTGAGAGTTCCCTCACAATTTCCAACAAGAGAATTGAGATCTTCAGTTTTTGATTTTTTTTAAATCTAAGTTCTCTGATAAAATCCTAAAAAAATTCAGTCTCAAAAACTACATCATTTGAGCAGCCATATTCAGAGGCAAGCATCGCAACCCTCTGAGAGTACCCTCACCAATTCCAACAACGAGATTGAGATCTTCAAAGTTTTGAATTTTTGAACATCTAAGTTTATTTGAAAATTTCTGAAAAATCATTTATACGTCATATCTCAAAAACTTCAAGTATTTGAGCAGTCATATTTGGAGGCAAAAACCGCAACTCCTGAGAGTTTGCTCAAAATTTCCAACAAGAGAATTGAGATCTTCACAATTTTGGATTTTTTAAAATCTAAGCTTATGTGAAAATAATTTAAAACTGGCATATCTCGAAAACTGAAAGAATTTGAGCAGTCATATTTGGAGGCCGAATTCGCAACTCATAGTAGAACCCTGACAGAGCCTCATAACAGAGGTGAGAATTTCAAATTTTGTAAGACATTCTATATCTAAGTTTTCTGGAAAATCGTAAAAAACGTCATAACTCGAGAACTAAAAAGATTTCAGCAGCCATATTCAGAGGCAAGATCGCCACCCCTGAGAGTATCTTTACACCATCCAACAAGAGGAGTGAGATCTTCAGAGTTATAGATCTTTTTAAATCTAAGTTAATGTGAAACTTTTTTTACTAAAAAATTATAAAAAAAATGGCATAGCTCGAAAAATAAATCAAATTTGAGCAGTCATATTTGGAGGCCGAATTCGCAACTCCTGGTAGTACCTTGACAGAGCCTCAATACAGAGATAAGCATTTCAAATTTTGTAAATCTTTTTATATCTAAGTTTTCTGAAAAACCCTAAAAAACGTCATATCTGGAAAACTGAAAAGATTTCAGCAGCCATATTCAGAGGCAAGATTCGCCACCCCTGAGAGTACCCTCACCAATTCCAACAACGAGATTGAGATCTTCAAAGTTTTGAATTTTTGAACATCTAAGTTTATTTGAAAATTTCTGAAAAATCATTTATACGTCATATCTCAAAAACTTCAAGTATTTGAGCCGTCAAATTTGGAGGCGAAAACCGCAACTCCTGAGAGTTTGCTCAAAATTTCCAACAAGAGAATTGAGATCTTCGCAATTTTGGATTTTTTAAAATCTAAGCTTATGTGAAAATAATTTAAAACTGGCATATCTCGAAAACTGAAAGAATTTGAGCAGTCATATTTGGAGGCCGAATTCGCAACTCATAGTAGAACCCTGACAGAGCCTCATAACAGAGGTGAGAATTTCAAATTTTGTAAGACATTTTATATCTAAGTTTTCTGGAAAATCCTAAAAAACGTCATAACTCGAGAACTAAAAAGATTTCAGCAGCCATATTCAGAGGCAAGATCGCCACCCCTGAGAGTATCTTTACACCTTCCAACAAGAGGAGTGAGATCTTCAGAGTTATAGAACTTTTTAAATCTAAGTTAATGTGAAACTTTTTTTACTAAAAAATTATAAAAAAAATGGCATAGCTCGAAAAATAAAAAAAATTTGAGCAGTCATATTTGGAGGCCGAATTCGCAACTCCTGGTAGTACCTTGACAGAGCCTCATTACAGAGATAAGCATTTCAAATTTTGTAAATCTTTTTAAATCTAAGTTTTCTGAAAAACCCTAAAAAACGTCATATCTGGAAAACTGAAAAGATTTCAGCAGCCATATTCAGAGGTAAGATTCGCCACCCCTGAGAGTACCCTCACCAATTCCAACAACGAGATTGAGATCTTCAAAGTTTTGAATTTTTGAACATCTAAGTTTATTTGAAAATTTCTGAAAAATCATTTATACGTCATATCTCAAAAACTTCAAGTATTTGAGCAGTCATATTTGGAGGCGAAAACCGCAACTCCTGAGAGTTTGCTCAAAATTTCCAACAAGAGAAATGAGATCTTCACAATTTTGGATTTTTTAAAATCTAAGCTTATGTGAAAATAATTTAAAACTGGCATATCTCGAAAACTGAAAGAATTTGAGCAGTCATATTTGGAGGCCGAATTCGCAACTCATAGTAGAACCCTGACAGAGCCTCATAACAGAGGTGAGAATTTCAAATTTTGTAAGACATTCTATATCTAAGTTTTCTGGAAAATCGTAAAAAACGTCATAACTCGAGAACTAAAAAGATTTCAGCAGCCATATTCAGAGGCAAGATCACCACCCCTGAGAGTATCTTTACACCTTCCAACAAGAGGAGTGAGATCTTCAGAGTTATAGAACTTTTTAAATCTAAGTTAATGTGAAACTTTTTTTACTAAAAAATTATAAAAAAAATGGCATAGCTCGAAAAATAAATCAAATTTGAGCAGTCATATTTGGAGGCCGAATTCGCAACTCCTGGTAGTACCTTGACAGAGCCTCATTACAGAGATAAGCATTTCAAATTTTGTAAATCTTTTTATATCTAAGTTTTCTGAAAAACCCTAAAAAACGTCATATCTGGAAAACTGAAAAGATTTCAGCAGCCATATTCAGAGGCAAGATTCGCCACCCCTGAGAGTATCATTTTCACAATATCCAAAAAGTGGATTGAGATCTTCAAAAATTTGGAACTTTTTAGAATCTAACTTTTTTGAAAATTTTAGAAAAATCATAAAAAACGTCATATCTCGAAAACTAAAAGAATTTGAGCAGTCATATTTGGAGGCCGAACTCGCAACTCCTGGTAGTACCTTGACAGCCTCATTAGAGATGAGAATTTCAAATTTTGTAAAACTTTTTTTATCTAAGTTTTCTGAAAAATCCTATAAAACGTCATACCTGGAAAACTAAAAGATTTCAGCAGCCGTATTCAGAGGCGATATTCGCCAGCCCTGAGAGTATCTTCACAATATCCAACAAGAGGATTGAGATCTTCAAAAAATTGGAATTTTTTAAAATCTAACTTTTTTGAAAAGATTAGAAAAAAATCATAAAAAACGACATATCTCGAAAACTAAAAGAAATTGAGCAGTCATATTTGGAGGCCGAATCCGCAACTCTTGGTAGTACCCTGACAGAGCCTCATTACAGAGATGAGAATTTCAAATTTTGTAAAACTTTTTATATCTAAGTTTTCTGAAGAACCCTAAAAAACGTCATATCTGGAAAACTAAAAAGATTTCAGCAACCATATGCGGAGGCAAGGTTCACCACCCTGAGAGTATCTTCACAATATCGAACAAAAGGATTGAGATCCACAAAGTTTTGGAACTTTTTAAAATCTAACTTTTTTGAAAATTTTAGAAAAAATCATAAAAAACGTCATGTCTCGAAAACAAAAAGAATTTGAGCAGTCATATTTGGAGGCCGAATCCGCAACTCCTGGTAGTACCCTGACAGAGCCTCATTACAGAGATGAGAATTTTAAATGTTGTAAAACTTTTTATATCTAAGTTTTCTGAAAAACCCTAAAAAACGTCATATTTGGAAAACTAAAAAGATTTCAGCAGCCATATCCGGAGGCAAGGTTCGCCACCCCTGAGAGTATCTTCACAATATCCAACAAGAGAATTGAGATCTTCAAAATTTTAGAATTTTTTTAAATCTAAGTTTTTTGAAAATTTTCGAAAAATCGTAAAAAAAACAGTCATAACTCGAAAACTACAAAGATTTGAGAAGTAAGATTTGGAGGCAAGATTCACAACCCCTGAGAAAACCCTGACAGCACCCAACTACAGGCTGAGAATTTCAAAAATTTAGAAGTTTTTTTAAATTAAATTTTCTAGAAAATTTTGGAAACTCGAAAATAGCCGTATCTCGTAAACTAAAAGGATTTGGTTATTCATATATGGAGACCAGAATCGCAAAACCTGGTATAACCTTGACAGAATCCCACTATTCGGTTGCTATATATATATGCTTGCACTATAACCCAAATAGATTGAAAAAGTTTTGAATGACAAGGAAAAACGCATAAATCACAGGCAAATATCGTGTTGTGGCAAAGAAGCCGACAAAAAATTAGCAGAAAAACACTAGTCATACAATTAATTTTCTCATGCGGAACATTTTTTGTCGACAAAAAACTGCCCCTTACTGGATTCGAAACCATAACCTTTGTCGACCCAAGCATGAATTACCATGCTAAACGGGCTAAAATGATACCACGAACTTGATGTACACTAAACTAAGCTGACCAAATAAAGATTTTGTGAAGCCAGATGACAAACCGAAAAAAAAATCTGAAACTCCGACTTGATAACTCGCTAATCACAAGTGTATACAAAATTTTAGAATCCGCGATTCTTGGTATACACGAGTCGTCGCTAACCTTCACTGAGCTGCCATGTAAAGGTAATCAGACATGTTATTTCGTTAGCAGGCAGATATGACAAGATAGAACCCCATTTCCGTCACTTTGTTTACTTTTTCCGAGTCAAGAGAAAAATTAGAAGTGATATTTTTGTATGAACAAATATGAAGACCAAATTCAGGCAAACAGATTACTGTGAAAGGAAAACTCCTAGTTACCTCTTTGGTTTAACAATAAAACTCACCAACTTATCGTATTTATATTTATGTCCCCGTACATTCTTCGCGCGCTGATATACGAAGCCTTTAGACGCGTTCTCCTTTGAATCAAAAAGATGTTTCATAAATACATTGGATCAAATGTCAAATTACATCTTCTAATACGGAATTCGAAACTCTGAACTACGGAATTCTTGCGTTAAAATTTGCTATCGCGGAGTCTATTTGCTAAATATTGTTTCCACAAGGAAACCTGGAAACAAAAATATAAGGGTGGAGGGGGATAATTGCAATAATATTGAATGCTAGCAATTTTCAGGCCAGTGAAGTTCGGACAATGAATAATTTGTGCCTTCATATATCTCTCAGAAAAATGTAATCGTAGCTGTAACAATAAGAACCCAAACGTATTTTTGGATGTTTAGTCAAATTCGCTCAATGTTTCTTACCTGACGAAAGAAAATGTCTGCATCCTGATTATCATTAGGAGTCGGCGTATATGTTGCGCTGTTATTTATCTCATTTTCCACCAAAGCTCTCGTAGACACGCTTGACTTTCCCATTTCAGCAGCTTACTTGTTGTAGACAGCAGGTTTTAAATTAACTTTTACATTGTTTGTTCAAAATTTCATTTTGAACTGAAAACAAACTGAAAATAATAATTCCAGATAATGATTATATTTCCCCCAAAACGTTTTCCGTATGTACAGAAACGCCATCCGGAAAACTTAACCAGCAAATTCATTAGACCAATTTTTAACATTCCAGAGAAATTTAAAGGATTTTGAGAAAAATGGCTTGCGGAATAAAAAAACTTTTCAATCAATCAAAACGCCATTTCAAATAAAAACTGCTTATGAATGCGCTTGTCATAAATCAACTACACAATCCAATCATTCTTTTAAGCGGAAATTTCACACTTCGACACTTGCGACAACACGACCAAAAAGCAGCTCTATCCAAAAAAAATGGACAAAGTAGAAATAAGCCTCGAGCTAGCATAATCTCGGCTACGTGTCGGATTCGAATCTGCGACCTAACAAAATTGAGTCTCACGCCTTAATCACAGCTACGGATGCTTAAAATCCCCAAACAATAATCACCAATAACGCAGCAACATTGCTAATAAAATGCCAAATCGATTCAGCAAAAGTAGCACCAAGTACAAAAGACACAATTTTGCATACTAATTATAAAGCATAAGAGCCAAACTATGTATAACTTATGCATTTCGAAAAATTGCCAGATGCATTGAGTCGAACATCGCGAAAGCTTTAGAGCGGGCACTTCACTTGGAAGCTGTCATTAGAATTGAGTAAGAACAAACGGTGCGAATAGCAGCCATACGGAAAGATGAAAGAGAAATCCTAATAGACTCGGTGAACAGACTTGTTCAACAGATGTCGGTCAGTTCTGAAAACAAAACCCAGAGCAGTGACGGTCAAAGAGACAGCCATTTTATGATGCTACGAGAACCACATTGAATTGGCTATGGTAGGGATGGTCAAAAGCACGTAAAGCTCTATTTAGTCGCTAGCCAAATAGTTTAATTTGTTGTCTTATTACGATTTATAGATGTCATTCTATAACTAATTTAAGTATCTATCTATCTATCTAGACTAATTGTTTTGATAAACTTATTGTTCAGTTTCATATCTCGTAATGTCAAGACGAAATCGAGGGGTGCGTATTCATAGGTTCCAAAATAAAAAAACAGTCCCATATGTTCCAAAATAAAAAAACAGTCGCATAAGTTCCAAATCTTTTCGATTGGTTAAAAGACTAAATTAGCCGAGTCTCGGTTTGAGGTCGCCCGTGGGCGCGCTACGCGCGCATCGCCGCTTTACGGCGATAGCCGGCTCTAAATTTCGTATAGAGTCCTACACTTTGGTGGCAAGCTCGCAACACGTTGGCGCGGCTGCGGCGGTCACTTTTCTGCAGCTTGAGCTTATGCTGGTTGAACAACGAACAATCAATCCATAAATTCGTAGGCTCAAATTTCAACCAATCAGAATTCAAGAAGACAAATTTTGGAACTTATGCGACTGATTTTTTATTTTGGAACCTATGAATATTGGAACCTATGGGAATTCGCCAATCGAGGAGATGCTAACTCTGTCTCCGATGTTCGTGGTGACTAGTGCGGAAAGTGCAACAAGAAACGCGGTAGTCAATGGATTCAGTGTGACCTGTGCGACATCTGGTATCACTACCAGGCAATTCAATTCCTTGATTTTTTCGGAATTGGAATTGAGAAATCTCACTAGGCTTTGGAATTGAAGTTGCTTCAATTCCGAGTACAGGAATTGGAATTGACAAAAAAATTTTTATCAGATCGATTCTGAAACAAACGTTTTTGGTCTCTTCGACTGGGACGATCCTGAAATAAAATTTTTTTGTCTATCCGACCTTAGCGGCTATGAAATAAAAACTTTTGATCTATCCGGTTGATTCGCCGGACGCTTCCTTTTAATTTCGCAGATGTTCTTATGCTTGTGCTTGGCAGATGTATGTAACATTCGCCCGGAAGATAGATATGGACGGAAAATAAAACTAAGTCCTAAGACGACTGGCTAACGTCTAAACAGAGCTTTACATGCTTTTCACCGTCTCTACCAAGCCAGTACTTTCGGTGGTCTTTTCTAACATCGGGTCGACAAAAAACGTTACTGCTTTCGGCTTCGGTCAAAACACTCAAATTAACTTAATTACATGCAGAAATAGTGAGCTCATGGCTGGGTCTCAGTATCCCCAGACCACGAGGTCACTCCTAAAAACAGGGCTACTACTTATTATATTACTATTGTTTTTGTTCAGTAGATAAAAATCATCATCTCCATCGAAGATGGATCAACCCTTTCCCCCAACTCCTAGCTTCTCATCCTTATCAAAATGAATCCAGTTGTTAATTAAATTCAACTCAGGACATGACAGGAAGCTAAAAGTTTATATAAAAGGATAAAAGTCTCAGTTCCGAAACCCTTCCGGATTCTTGAATCCACTGAATCAAGCTCGCTAATCTTGACTTTTTCTTAATCCGGAAGGCTGTCCTCCACCCTTCACCGTTGTCTGCAACAGCCTTGCAACTATTGTAGCGACACAATAGTTGCAACTCGGAGTGTTCACTGCTATTCCTGCAATCTGCTATTGTTTTTTCTCACAGTTTTCGTACTTATCGTCCGCGCAACTAATGTTGTTGTGTTGTTTTCTAGCTTTTCTGCCAAAATGGCCGTTGCTGACGTTTCTCAGAAATTTTACGTAATCACTTCGAAAATTTAAAAATCAGCAATTTCCGAATCCTTTAACCTTCACCTTTTGTTCAATCGTCCAAATAACGTTCTTAATTCTCAAAAATCACCAATCCGGAAGGCTCGCTGCTAAAAATTCGAATTCCGCAGAGATTGCATTTTGGCCATTCTGGTCGAATGTCACATACTCCCCGGACAGTCCGGTCAATGTCCTCATTGAATCACGCAATGTTCGTAAAATAGATACAGTGTCATCGAACAGAGTTAACAAAATGCACGAAATTACCTTTATCCACGTCACATCGACTCACTGCAGAACATAAATGGCATCATACTACATCACTATAGCCTTCAAATTCTTTCATTAATCTGCACATTGAGGATATGACCTAAGATAAAACATATTTTCTGACTTCCAATGTCAAGGTCCCGATTAAAACTTTTTCTCTTAGATTTAAAAGGTGTTGGCTTGCAGGACAGTCCTGCCGACCAACAAGCTAAAATTTTCCTACTATGCTTTTCCCTTCTGAAATCTTGCTTGTTATTGTCCTGAATATTAAAACTAAGAAACTCGGTGGTTAGCATGAACAATGAAACAATCTCCCTCTTCGAGAGATTACTCAAGCCTTCCATGTCACCACAAAGTGATCAGTTCTCCTAGCTGATTAAAAACAGTCAGGCAGGCTGGAATATTTTAATATACTCCTTCATTTAAGCCTTTCTAAATAAATAGTAAGTGAGTGTCTCTAAAGCCACTCGACTGAAATCAAAATGCAAATTTATAAATGCAACAATTTCAAAACTCAACTAAATGTTTCAGTTTTCAATTACAACTTGGTTGCTTGGTTTCTCACTTGAGTTTTTTCACACACATAAAACAACTCTGAGTTTTAACTTTTTCATCATTACTCCTTTGTTTTCTTCTTTTTTCGTCGTTTAGAAGTTCTAAAACTTCTAATTTCTTCTAATTTTCGTCTCTTTTTTCCCATCTTGCTTTTCGGTCATTCGTCAATGCTCCATTTCTTCCTCCTGTGATACTGACTCTGCACTCTCAGTCTCCGTATCTTGTAACACGTCGTTAGCAATCCTGACGCTGCTGGAAGCCGTCCTCGAACACTTCTGCTCTTCCACCCTCTGTTTACAGCAAGGTAGGGGATCCACATTAGATTCTCTGTTCCACAGAGAACGGAATCTAACGTGGATCCCGTTCTCTGTGGATCTAACGGGATCCACGTTAGATTCTCTGTTCCTGCACAACGTCACGTTTCTCTCCAAATCTTCTTTCAGCATCTCTGCTTTCTCCTTTCCACTACGTTCATTCGTCCTGGAAATTCTTTTCACAGCGGTGGTCACTGCATTCCGATGAGTCACGAGAGCTCGCTTAAAAGCTCCTGCTCCAATGTCCAGCTGATATTCACTGTACACTCTGCCATTGTAGGATCTCTGATTCTGCTCAGAAAACCTCTACTGTGTAGATGGTCATTGATGCCAGCAAACACAATCGTAATTGGGTTCATGTCCGTCTGCCTTTGCACCCCTATAGCCAAAGATATCGATTGCAGTAAGTCCAAGTCGACCGCTGCCAACATTATGACGTCCGGCCAAAACAAAGACTTGGAGGTGTACACGAACTCTGAATTCGCTACTACCATAATCTTGGCCTTCCTCATTTCTGCCTTGTCGTAGGCGGCGAAGATGGTCTCATCTTTCTTTATCGCTGTCAATCCGCCATATCTTTGGGCATCACCATCTTGGTTCACTAATTTTGGGTATACTCTTTCCTTCACATGACCAGGGGGTGTCGTCAGCTGCCTGAATATCTTCACGTGTTGTCCAATCGGCGCTCTCGTCGTCAGGAATCTTCCTGGTCTCTCTTCACGATTCCGCTCCTCATGATTCTATAACTAATTTAAGTATCTATCTATCTATCTAGACTAATTGTTGTGATAAACTTATTGTTCAGTTTCATATCTCGTAATGTCAAGACGAAATCGAGGGGTGCGTATTCATAGGTTCCAAAATAAAAAAAACAGTCCCATATGTTCCAAAATAAAAAACAGTCGCATAAGTTCCAAATCTTTTCGATTGGTTAAAAGACTAATTTAGCCGAGTCTCGGTTTGAGGTCGCCCGTGGGCGCGCTACGCAAGCATCGCCGCTTTATGGCGATAGCCGGCTCTAAATTTCGTATAGAGTCCTACACTTTGGTGGCAAGCTCGCAACACGTTGGCGCGGCTGCGGCGGTCACTTTTCTGCAGCTTGAGCTTATGCTGGTTGAACAACAAACAATCAATCCATAAATTCGTAGGCTCAAATTTCAACCAATCAGAATTCAAGAAGACAAATTTTGGAACTTATGCGACTGATTTTTTATTTTGAAACCTATAAATAT